TTATACTAATATAACTAGAATCTTAATTTCTTTTATAAGTAAATTCTATAATAATTTTATAATAGAATATAATTTTATATATTTTGCTTATAGTTATTTGAATTCAAACCAAAAAATTATTATAAATTTTAATAAAAATTTATTAATTAAAGAATATATTAAAAATAGTAAAATTTCAAAAATATAAAAAAAATAACAATAATTCAAAAATAATTATATAATTATTTTTTATTTTTGTCAAATTATTTATTATATTTTATTAATATTATTATTCTAGCTCTTTTATAATATTTGTATAGTAAAAGATTTTTAATAGATTTCTTCTTATAGTTATAAGAGAAAATAATGAATCAAGTTAAGTTTATTACTAAGAAAATTATATGTTATAATTATGATAGATTCAAGATAGTTTTTATTAATCAAGCTTTTTTATTATTATACTTTTTATTATTGCTATCTCAGTTAGCACTCTATATATAAATTATATAAGTATATAATATAAGAATAATAATATTACTAGATTATTCCAAGTCTATAATCAAAACTATACTAAAAATCAAAGGGTAATTATAAGGTATTTAATAAGTAAATTTGTTATTAAGAACTTGTTAAGTTTATTAAACTAACTAAGCTTCTATTATACTTGTTAACTTTTTGCTATCAAGTGAAATGCTACTTATATAAAATTGATTGTTGCAAAAATTTCTAAATATCTGTAATACTAAACTAGCAAAAGTTCTATTATTTTAAAAATCAATGGTTCAAAATATTAACAGTTCGATATCTCTAATGATTAAAGTTCAAAATATCAAAAGTTCAATATATTTGTCATATTGATATATAATACATATAAATAATAAGTTCAAAAATAATTGATCAATAAAATTAAAAATTAATATTGTTCAATAAAATATATTATACAAAGTGTTCAATAAAAATAAACTAATAAATTGTTCAATAAAATATAAGAAATAAAATATACTATAACAATATTTATCTTTTTATATTTCTTTATATTCTTTTTAATCTCTTTTGCTTCTTTTCTATCTTTTTTATTCTTTATTTTACCTCTTTATACTCTTTTTAAACTCTTTACACTTTATATAATATCTCTTTTGATCCTTTTCTATTCTTTTATGTCCTTTTTTACCTTTACCCAGTATATATATAATATCCTTTATTATCTTATAATATATAATAAATTTTAATATAGATTAATCTGACCTAATAAAAATTCTTATTTTATATTAACAAATTTTGTATAAAAATAATATCTATAAATAGAAACAAAATTTTTATATAAATATAAGTGTTGTATTAACACACTCTCTTACATGTTTTTCCAATCTTAATAAATATAACATAATTTATAATATTAATTATTATATTAAATGTGATATTTATTCTTTATTTTTGAATTTAATTCGTTAAAATAAGTTGGAATCAAATATCAAAACTTGTTAATTCAAGTTAGTTTCCATTAAAATTATTATATTCAGAACATATTTTATGAAATAATTGATTTGTTATTGAGTATTGATATTAGATTTTGTTATTTTTGATTTTATTTTGATTTAGTTGTGCATTGCAACTTTAAATAAGTGATTTTCTTTTATTATTTACATTATTTTGATATAGTTGAGCACCTCAACTCTAAATAAATACATTACTTTTATTTATATTTTTGGTATTTTTATATTTATTTATTTTGTTTTAATATTGATTTACTTTTCGTGACATCGTGACTATATGAGCAAGAAGCAAAATGTAGTATAAATGGTGGGATGATCTCGATATTAGTGGATATAATTTAATGGTTATTATTATCTTGAAACCGCATCACAGATCACGTGTTCACGTGATCTGTGATGATATTCCAAGGGGAGGTATGATAACAAATTTTGGGGGTATAAATAACAGCCGCCTTAATATTTGTACTGATTTTTTGGTATTAGAATTTCATAATTTAAATATTTCACAACTTCTTTCAAATCCATCTTTATATAATTGAAAGAGAACTTAATATCAAAAATAAAGATGCAACCTTTTATTCTAGAATATGAGCTCACATCGAAGAAATTTTCTCGGGGATTGTTTACTCGAATTACTATTGGATAAATGACAGTTTGAAAGTTATAAAACTGATCACAATTAACGCTTTTAACAGTTAACATTAACGAAATCGAAATAAAAACAATTAACTTACATCTAGAATTTCAGTATACAACAATAATCCTTTGTGCAACTTATTTGTTAATCAAAATAAATTAATTAATTTTGTTTTACTATCTTTTATATTAATAAAAAAACTAAGTCTAGCAGAGATTATTATTATTTTAATATTGTTTCTTTATTATATTGATTATATGCTTGTTGTGCATGTGCTTGTGCCTGTGCATGAGCTTGTTGAAGTTCAGGAGGCAATCCTTGTGGTAATGGTGGTGGTCCCTAATGACAATAATAATAATAAACATTAGAATTAATCGACAATTCGAAATAACATAGCGATATACAATATTAATTGATAAGGTACCTGAGTTATCAGCTGCCAAATAGTTGTCTTGCTCTCTTTTAATTGTTTTTCGAAGTACTCTTGTTCTTCTCGCATCAGTCTTTGAATTTCAGGTGCTTGTTCTTTTAATGTTCGATAATTTTGCATAAATTCTTGGCGCATAAGTTTACGATTGTGATCTAAAAGTTGATATTGTGGAATATATTGCTCTTGCTATATTATCCCAAAATGACATTGAAAAGTTAATGATAGATAAAGGTATTGAATTAATACAAAAACAATAGTCAAGTGTCTCTCTTCGTATATTTACCACATGACCACTCACACCTCCAAGAAAAGAGGCCCAGCTTGCCAGTCCTTTCTTTGGTTGTTTGATTTCTTCCCACTCTAATCTTCGTTTCTCTTTCCATTCTTTCTCCCATTGAGCATAAGCTTTAGGTATATCTTTACCCTTAAATTGAACTAATACCGGACGAACATCTTGAATATCAAGTAAACAAAAATCTAAACAAATTTATAGAATACAATATTAAGCATTATTAATAATTCAGACAGTTAATCATTTATTGTTAGCAATACTCACGTTCTAAGAATGGTATAATATCAATGAGAAAAGTGTCTGATGGATCTCCTTTCCACGGAGGAACTGCGATAGCATTCTCCGGTTGAAGGGAATAAGCATCAGGATTCGAGTCCATAATAATTACTTTTGAGAGATCACGATTTAGTTTAGAAATATCCTGTAATTTTATATATACTTTAGATTAGTATGCATTGATATATATATATTTCATATATTTTGTATATTAAAATAAGAGAGAATCAACAACACCTTAACATGCTTGCCTTCAACATATTTTGTGGCCTCCCGGTAAAGTTTGAATGGTACAAGCTGAAAAGGATCGAGCTTTGCTACCACTGGTTCAGCAATCTTTTGAATTTGTGAATTAATATTAACAAATAATGTGATAATGTAATCTTAATTATATACTCACATATGTAGGTTGTGACGTGAATATTACAACTTCAAATAAACTTCTCATGTAAGCTAGGAATGTGTCTACGCCTGGTCGCTTTGCTGTACGCCATCCGTGTTCTCTCTAATGAATAGTGATGCATGATCAAATAAATTACCGCTTAAAAAAGAAACATAAACGAGACGATGAAACTAAATAAAAAATACTTGCATCCCAAGTAGAATATATTAACGTTTGATCCAAGTTTATTACAAGTGTGTGTTGCGGATAATTTAATATATTTTCTTTATCAGGCAAAAGTTTGTCGGATGGAGGTTCAGTGAAGAACTTTTAATAATGAAGATTCATATCATTGCACTAAGTTGAACTTGTGCGTATAATAAAAATAGAAAAAGGAATATTTCTTTTGTAATATACTCACTTGAAGGAAATCCTCTGTTCGTGCTTCTAGTCTTTTATACCATGCTAACAATGGGTGCATATTTGTAAACTAATTAAGATAAAAAAATATGCGTTCAGTTGACGCATAAATCCTAAAATATCAATAAATAATATTTACTTGGTTCTCGCGTTCATGTTCAAAAGGCCTTCCTAGAAAAAACGTTAGAAGGATAAATAAATCAAATTCTATCATTACAGAAATTAACAAATATATACCAACGCATACCAGAATATATAATTAACGCAATAGTACCCCCAACAAAGGTTATGGATAATAATTGAAGAAATATCTTCAATTTTGGGTTGGTGCTGCTTTCAATCTTTGTTTTTGCTTTTGGTTTCTTTGGGAATTTCGAATCAGAAGGAATTTGCCCTGGATTTTTCAAGTAATTTGTCAATGATCCTTCCTTTACTTTTTCTGTGGTGAGACTTTCGCTTGATTTCAGTGTTTCGATCGTGTAGCACCGATTTAAGGGAGTAACACGAAAAATATTTACGCGTTTATTATTTTTGAATGGTAGTAACAGCGTATATAATGGAGGTAGTTTATTAATACATTCTCTTTGTTGAGCAAGGTTCAGTATTGCGTTTTTACTGTGATTACTGCTATCAGCACTACTAAAACGCGAAAGTTTATTTGTGCAAAATTGCCGCCGTTTAGATAAAGTCAGAAAGGCAGCAGATTTTAATCTACCTGGCAATGGGGAAATCATAATTAATTGCAGGGAAACTAATTAATTTATCGAGAAAGCAAATTTTGTTATTGTGACGTGTTATTATTCAACATTTGATCGACAAGAAAAGTCACGATTTTCAGAATTTATTTTTTTATAGAAACTATTTTTCTTTGATCTAAGTTGTTTTATTTTTACAAGTAGACTTCAAAATTGGTATTTTAATTTATCAATAAGAATGCAAGTATGTGATTGAAATATTACTTCAGAAAATTTATTGGTGTAGTGGAAATAACATAATTATGTTATTTCTCCTAAAGTCAGTGTTGTCGTTTGGACGCAAATACAGCAATTTGCGTCCAAACGCTGCCCTTTTTTTCTGAGCCCCTTGTACCTCTAATGCAATTCGATTATGTTGGAGAAGGCATCAAATTCTAATCCTTTCATAAAAGATGGACGATATTCTACTACGGGTTCCTCATCAAGCAGTGTCTGAGCTATTAGAATGATTTCTCTTGAAATTTACGATTTTTCTTGTGTTCTGTCTTTTTTAAGTTTTTATATTTTCGGATGCTAGATTGTCTACTTCAGAGTGAAGTCTAACTTTATCATTAATAAAAAGACCAAGTTTGTATTGCAAGTTCTTCACTAATTCATCAACCTCTTTATCTTTGAATGATCTAGGTTCAAGAGCTCGTTCAGTGGACATTACTTCGGGAAAGATTTTTATCTCACTCTCAAGATCCTTAATCCGCAGTCTCAACAATTCTAGTTTAGATTCCATGTTTAGCGTTAATTTTTACATATTCAATAATGTATTTAAAATGTATAACCGCATATCGACTGCGGAATAGCAAGATTCGAATAAAAAAATGTGTTCAAATACTTTAGCTAATATAATAAAATTTTTGAAGTTTATCATTCCCTTTGTCTGCTCTTACAACCTCTTATTCTTTTGTTTATTCATTTACATTTAGAATAGATGATGAAAAGATCTCAATTATTAATTATTTAGATAATTATCAATTAAATTTCTATTGCATTTTCTTATAAAAGAACACTCAATTCATTTTCTAAGTTCTTTAATTTATTTTATTTTTATTAAATTTTGAACAATTACTCTTCTTTTATTATTACCCTTTTTATATATGTAAAAATTTTGAGTAAATAGAAACTGTTATTATGATCAATTCTCTGACTTAATTCATTGAGATGTTGGTTTGATGTTGCTTGAATTTGTAATGGATGTTCTCCATCATATACACAGTTTAAATCTTCTTATTCTCAATTCCATTTTAATAGAAGAGGTCAGAATGCTATGTGTGTTGGTGACTTGTGAAATATTTCACATGTTGTTATAGTCTTATTAAAAGATCTTTGCTATAACGTCTATATAAGATGAGATTCTATTCTTATTATTCACTTTCAAATTTATTATTTCTTAAACCAATAATGATTGTCACGACTAACTAAGATTATATAGCTGAGTAGCAAAGTTTTTCAGTATTTTATGATAAGCATGAAAAACTAAGATTCAACATATATTTTTATATATTTTTTTAAATTCTTATATTTTTATATCCATTTTATTATTTTATATTTTTATTTTATGAAGTAAAATTCTTAATTAAGAGAAACTTGTTAGAATATAAATATTTAATTTTTATTTTATTGATTAATTTATATTATAAATTTAATTGGATAATATTTTATTGAATAAGATTTGAGCTATTAATGATTGGTTTATTGAATTGTGTAAGTAATCCAAGTGATCCAAGTAATAATAGCAATTCAAGCAATCCAAGCAATTTAAGTAATAACAACGATGAAAGTATTAGAGATCAATTGTGTAATAGCTAAATTAAATCTAATAATTTGTTATAAAAGCAATATATCTTAACTAATAATTAAGATAATTCTATAGATCTAATAATTTTAAAATTCTACAGTTTTATAGTTCTATAGTTCTCAAAATCTCAAGAATAATAAATAATAATTAAAAACATATAATAAATTAATAATAAATTCATTTAATAATAAATTATATTTTATTATTATTAAATTATGATTTTATATTAAACTTATATATTTATTATATAAAATTCTTTAATTAAATATTATTATTAAAAATTCCAGATTTTATTCTAGCTGATCATATTATAAACATACTGTTATCTCTCTTTAGATTTATTATAATTATAGTTTAATGCTTGATGCATTATATAGATTTAATTATATTATACTGTTATCATTCTACCTTTTATTAACTATATCACATTATATTTTTAGTGCAGTAATATTCTTTTAGACTTTTTATTTTTCTATATTTCTTATATTTTATCCAATAGCAATAATTCATATTTTAATCCAATTATTTTACATTATTATCACATTATTTTAGTTTAGATTTCATTATCATTTAATTTATCAATTAATTCATACTATTATTACATTATTTTATATTTTAATCTTATTGGTACTTTATTTTCATTTCTTGTTATATTAATTTAATTAGCAACACATAGCTTTTACACAAATTCCTTTCTAATATTATATAATAGTTATTGTGTTTCAATATATTATAGATCTTTATTTTTATTAATTTTACTTTGTAATCTATATATAAATAATATATAGATCAGCATAACTTAAATTTACTATATATGTAATATGAGAATTGACTTAAAATAAACTAAGAAGATTATATCCTGGTTTTAACTTTTGTTTTATCTTTTTCACTTTTCTTGCTTATTTCTTTTGTTTGCTTTATTTTTGTTTGTTTGTGTTTTATTTTTCTTTTGTTTTATCTTTGTTTTACTTTTGTTGTTTTTATTTGTTGTCATATTGTCTTTTATCTTATTAATATGCTTTCTAACTTTAATTTATAGTATATATATAGTTTTAATAATGTCTTATTATTATTTAAATACACTTAAACATTCATCTTATACTCATATTCTTGTCAGTTTATTATTGATAATTATTCACTTTCATCATTTATTTAAAATCTGTCATGAACATAGTTACTGTTAGTTATTTCTAAATATTCTCATACGTAAGAACTAGAAATGGTAGCAATACTCTTTCATCTATAATTCTTAATAAACTTTATTATAATTATTTTAATAAAATAACTTATTATAATATTATTAAGCACTCTCAAGCTTTTTCAAGAATTCATAAAATATAATAATAATATAATTTAATCAATAATTATTGATTTGTAATAATCTAAATTTATTATTCAATTATAATATATATTATTTTATTATTAAAAGTCAATATTATATAAATGATTATAATAATCTAAATTTATTATTTAATTATAAAATATATTATTACATTATTAAAGTTAATATTTGTTTGCAATTATAATTTATACAATTATAATTTATTACTAATATTTAAAAATAGTAATTGATTAAATGCCAATTTTCTAAATCTTTTATTTTAAATAAAAAATATAATTTTATATATTATTTTATGATTAATTAATATATCTGATTATTTAGAAGATTAATAAATTTTTATTGCTAATTAAGATAATATACCTGTACAATAAAAATAGTATTTCAAATATAAAAATATAAAAAAAATCATTAATAAAATATTACTTCAAGATAATTTACATATGTATTTATATTTTTTATTTAAAAATGTATAAAATAATATATGTATTTCTTTTTTTGTAACTTGATTTTACAATTTATTATTTAAATATATCTTTTTTTCTATCAATTTCAAATATAAATAGAAAAAGAGATAATAATTTTATATAATTTGTATTGTTATATAATGGAATTTTATATTAATTATTAGTCAAAATTATTATATATTTTGTATTATATTATTATTTATATTATTATATTATTATTTATATTATTATTTGTATCATATTTATATTATTATTTATATTATTATTTACAAATATTATATAGTGCTACAGTTACTTTAAATGAAGGGTTTCTTCACTATTAGTAAGAGAGTTATATGAGTTGGGAGAGAGAAATAGACTAATAAAATTGGTTAGTGCAAAAATAAATATCTAAGTCTATACCAATTTTAACAGAAATTATTAAACAATTCTATCAAGGACAAAAAGAAAAGTTGGGAGAATGTGTTCAAAAGAGCAATTAACTAATAAGAATTACTAACTAAAGAAGAAAATATTAATGTTTTTATACTTGTAGTTATACATTCTAGTGCTTTCAATATCAAAGAAAAGTGAAAAAGATAAAACAAAAGTTAAAACCAGGATATAATCTTCTTAGTTTATTTTAAGTCAATT